CACTCTCTATTATAATTCTTATCCATTTTGGGGGGCAATATATCAACAAAAGAACATTTTATACCAATTCTTTCTTAATGTTTGGCTAGCTGTAAATTCTATTCTGTTTGTCCATAAGGTTTCCCACCAATGGAAGCATATTTTTTTCTCCAAAATTCGGCATCCAGCTTACCATACATTTAACTTGTTCACTTTCTGTATCATGTTGCAATAATAACCTATAAATCCATCCTTGTATCTGATCTTTTTGCTGAGAAATCACCTTTTCAGTCTGCCAGATCTCTTACTGTACCTCTTCCTTGTTAAATTTCCTTCCTCAGTCTCAAGACCAGTTGGAAACACAGAAGCCCTATCTTTTTACTTCATCTTTTAACGCTTGTCAAGACTTGATTCTTGATTCAGGAAGGACTCACTGGAGAAGACCCTAATGCTGGAAACTATTGTCAACAAAAGAAGAAGGGGACCACAGAGGGTGAGGTGGCTGGATGGAGTCACTGAAGCAGTTGGTGTGAGCTTGCGTGGACTCCGGGGAATGGTGGAGGACAGGAGAGCCTGGAGGAGTGTTGTCCATGGGGTCGCAACAACAACAAAGTGGTCTATGATTTTTATCTTGTGCTGTATCTTTTTTAATTTACCTGGCCTACAGATACTTAGGTAGTCCTTCTTCTAGAACTAATATTTATAGCTTCATTAGCCTGTATAATCATCAGGATTTTTAATCCCATCTGTAATCCAAACCAATCTACCTGCATGGTGGCATAATTTGATATTAGGTAGTGCTGGACCTCCTCTTTCTTTTGCATCTTGCAATACTTTCAATCTAATCCTTGTTTTTTCCCCATTCCAGATAAAAATGTTCATTGTCTTTTCCATTCTTGTATGGTTTTTCCTTGTAAGAAAATTGGTATTGTCTGAAATATAAAGTTCAACTCTGGGCAGGACATTCATTTTATGGTAACAGTTCTTTCCAACTAAGTCAGTTTTAATTTAGGCCATCTCTGAAGATCTTTTTGGAACTTTGTCCACATTATTTTATAATTATCTGGGAATTATGTATGATTATGGTGAGTCAAATTTTTCCCAGAGACTTAATTCGATTAGAAATTATTTCACATCCTAAGATGCTTAAATCTTGTTGTTTTATTAGAAATTTTAAAATAACTTTCATTTTTTCTTGTTAATTCTGTAACAGAAAAACATTTTTTTTTCAATTTGATCTAGTATATGTTACATTAATAGATTTAATTTATTTATATTCCCCTTTATATGCCACCAAATACTTTAAAAGTCCCTATGTGGCTTACAAAATCATATAAACACATTTTAAAACAATTAACAATGTAAAAATTTTAAAAACCAAATATAATCAGTAGCACAAGGGCATCGAATAAGTGAAAGGTGGTCAGAATCAGATAAAGTAAATATTTAAATGAACTGTTTTGCCTGACGCCGAAATGAAAATAGTGATGGCACCAGGCAAAATTCCCTTGGAATTTTATTCCAGAGGTGGGGAGCAGCCACTGAGAAGCCCCTTTTCCTATCTGCCACCCCCCCCCACCTCTTTGAGGGGTGGCTCCAGTAAAGGGCCCCCCTATTCGGATCTAAGGGGTCAGGCAGGCACTTATGGGTGAAGGTGGTCCCTTAGGTAACCGGGCTCTAAGCTGTTTATATGCCAAGGCAAGCACCTTAAATTGGGTCTGGGCAACAACTGGTAGCCAAGGCAAATTTTGTTGCACTGGAGTAATGAGTCCCAGGTGGGGCACCAGCCACCAACCTGGCTGCCCAATTTTGTACCAGCTGTAATTGCCGAACAGCCTTCGATTGCAGCCCCACACAGAGCACTTTATAGCAATCAAATGTCGATGTAACCAGCACATGGGTAGCTGTTCTCAGGCACTGCCCATCCCGGTGGGGGCCCAGTTGATAAATCTGATGCGGTTGGAGGAAAACGCTCCTGGACACTGAGTCCACCTGGGCCAACAAGGATAGACCTGGGTCCAGGAGCACTCACAAAGTGTGAACCCTGCCCCTGAGGGGAGTGCGACCCCATCCAGGACAGGTAAAGCCCCTCCAACCTGTCAGGTGAACTCCCTACTAACAATACCTCTGTTTTATCTGGATTAAGTTTCAGTTTATTGACCCTCATCTAGTCCATTATTGGGGAATGCAGATGGCAGAGTGGTTTAAACCACTGTGCTGCTGGGCTGGTTGATCGAAAGGTCGCCGGTTTGAATCTGCCCAATGGAGTGAGTCCCCGTTGCTCTGTCCCAGCTCCTGCCAACTTGCAGTTCGAAAGCATGAAAATTTAAGTAGATAAAAAGGTACCACTTTGGTGGGCAGGTAACAGCGTTCCGTGCACTTCAGTGTTTGGTTATGCCGGCCACATGACCACGGAGACTGTCTGCGGACAAACGCTGGCTCCCTCGGCCAGGAAACAGAGATGAGCACTGCCCCCTAGAGTCAGGCATGACTGGACTTAATGTCAAGGGGAAATCTTTACCTTTACCTTTTAGTCCATCATCAAGCTCAGGCATCGGTTCAGAACATCCACTGCCTCACCTGGATTAGATGAAAAAGCGAGGTAGAGCGGAGTATCGTCAGCATATTGCTGACTCCTCAGCCCAAACCTCTGGATGACCTCTCCCAGTGGTTTCATGTAGCTGTTAAGGAGCATGGAGGACAGCACTGAGCCCTGCAGGACCCCATGACACAAAGGCCATGGGGACAAAGCCGCTGTCCCCAGCACCACCCTCCGCACATGGTCAGCTAGATAGGAGCAGAACCACTGCAAAGCGGCGCCCCCAACTCCCAACCCAGCCAACCTGCCCAGAAGGACACCATGGTCAATGGTGTTGAGAGCCACTGAGAGGTCGAGAGCCAACAGGGTCACATTCCCCATCTCTCGGCAAAGGTCATCACACAGGGCAACCAAGGCAGTCGCCATCCTGAACCCATGCCTGAAACCCGATGGAAATGGATCTGGAAAATCCATTTCTTCTAGAACTGCCTGGCCACTACCCGCTCCAATATCTTGCCCAAAGAAGGAAGGCCAGATGGCCATAGGCCAGTAGTGCTCAACCAGTCCCAGTCCCACTCTCAATGGAGTGTTAACAGCCTCCTGGACCCAGGTCCAGACCCCCTCTGAAGATCTCCCCACCAACCATGATGGGCAAGGATCGAGCGAGCAAGTGGTGAGACGAACAGAGCCAAGCACCTTGTCCCCATTCCCAGGTTGCAGCAACAGAGGTTCTTCCATAACACGGCCTACAAATGGACTGCTGGACACATCCAAAGACTCCGTAACAAAGGCAGAGTCCAACTCTTGACAGATCCGAGCGGTTTTTCCTACAAGCGTGCTGCAAATTTTCACGGTGAGCCGAGGAGCGTTCCAGGGTCTCCTCTGGGGAACCAGACTGTAAGAGGCCCTGGACCACCTGAAAAAAAACTCAGCTGGTCAGCACTCTGAGGAAGCAAGAGGAGGCAACCCCCCCCCCCCCCCGTTTCGCCACTTTTATTGCCACGGAATAGGCTTGATAATGAGCTCTTAAATGTGTCCGGTCAGACTTACCATATTTTTTCCACCAGCACTCTAGCCATCTCCTCGCTTACTTCATCGCTCTCAGCTCAGGCATATTCCAGGTTGCTGACCACGCTCTGCAAGCGGGGAGAGGATGCTTAGTCGTGTTGACTGTCCATGCCATCTCCCTGTTCCCTAGGGAGACCTGGGCATCGGCAGGAGTGCTCACCAGATCAGCTAGATAATCCCCCAAAGCCCTCTGGAAACCTTCTGGATCTGTTTTCTCTGCCAATCTGCACTGGTGTATGGGGTTTTGAGTGCGGTGGATATGTTCTATTTCATTACATTATGGATATTATATTACCTTTGTTTGATTTTGTATTGCTCTGCTGTTAGAATTGTATTGAAATTGTATTTGCTATGAGCATAGCATTGCATTTATATTGATTTTGTCTTTGGCTACTATAATTTTTTGATCAAGTATTCTTGAAACGAAACACAGCGATTTCGTAGTAGCCTTACTTGAATTACAAATTGCTCTTTAAAAATTTCAGCTGTATTTGATTGCATTTAATTTCAGTGTTATCTGTTTATTAGCATTTTTACTGCTCAGTTTCTAGTTTAGAGAATTTTCTATTTTTTTTTGGTACCATATTTAAAAACTCATACACAAACTACTATATTATGTAGACAACGCTTTTCATTTCTGCTTCAGCAGGCCCTGAAATAACTTTTTTTTTAATTTTTGCTGGTCCCCAACCATACAAAAGGTTGAAAAACACTGTAATTGACTATTACAACCTGCCCTTCCCATCCCACTGGGTTATGTTGGTGCTTTACCAAGTACTCAGGAAGGCATAATGGGGAGAGGGGGATCCACCTGCCTCTCCCACCCAGGTCAGCCTCCTCATCCAGGATCAAATTCTGGATGAGGGGAGTTAAATTTTTAACTGACTTCACATTTATTAGCAGCACCAACAGGCCCGAGGGCAGGCAGATATGGATACCCAGTACCTTTAAACTGCAGGGTGACCAGAACAGGGCACCTGACTCCTCTTCTCCTACAGTGGCCTGTTTCTCCCCCACCACATATCTTCCCCTGCCTGGCACCACCCCAATGGTGGCTCCCATCTGCTCTTCTCTCGCATGATCCGTCACAACTCAACCCTTCACCGTTAAACCCAGAAGCAAAAATCTCCTGCAGCCAACTGGCACCAACTGAACACCCTTTGGCTGGTGCTGTCCCGGTGAGACTGCTGGGAAGAAATGCCCCCATACCGGAAGTTGTGTCCAGCGGCAGCCGGATGACGTGGAAGTGGCCGACTTGCTCCTCCAATGCTGGCAGGTCTCACCCAACAGCATCTCCCGCAAAGGGCAGCTGAGCTGAGTTCGGCAGCAGGTTCCCAAGCCTGGCAGTTCACAGCAGCAACCACAGCAGTGACAAGGTGTTCCAGCACAACTGCAGGCGCTGGTAGAGGAGGATTTAGAATGGTCAGTCCTGTGTCGCCAGCATAAATTTTCATTCTGTGTATTTCCCCGTCTACTTTCAAGCCTTTGATTTTTGGACCGTGTCTTATTTCTGTGAGGGTAAAATTTCCTACGTAAAGATAAATAGAACTGGTGATAAAGGACATCCGTAGCATGTTCCCTCCTCTAACTGAATATGGGAGGATCTTGCCAGCAAGTAAGAAATCATTATCATAACAGTTTCTGTATGAACAACATGCACCCTGAAGGACTGTAGACTCCATTTTAGGAGTGGAGGGGAAAGGAGTATCGACAACTGAGGGTGCAGCCTTTTCACCCTACACACATATAAAAGTTCTCCAATGTGTGTGGTTTTGCTGAAAATACATGTTTTCACTATCCTGGAAACTCATTCTGCAATCTGAACACCTACACACTTCAGCCCAGTATGAATCTTCTTATGATTTTTCAGGTTTGTGCTTTGACTGAAGCACTTTCCACACTCGGAGCACTTGTAGGGTTTCTCCCCTGTGTGTACATTTTGATGATATTTAAGGCCTGAACTCTGACAGAAGCTTTTCCCACACTCTGAGCACACATAGGGCTTCTCCCCTGTGTGGATTCTTTTGTGCTGAATAAGATGCCTGCCACTACGAAAACGCTTCCCACAACTGAAGCAATGGTAGGGCCTCTCCCCCGTGTGCATATATTGATGTTCCTTAAGGTTCATGCTCCGACTGAAACTCTTTCCACATTCTAAGCATTTATACGGCTTCTCCCCTGTGTGGATTATTCGATGGTTCAGAAGGGATGCATTTTGATTAAAAGCCTTTCCACACTCGAAGCATTTATATGGTTTCTCCCCTGTGTGAATTCTTTGATGCTGCTCGAGGGTTCTGCACTCAGTGAAGCTCTTCCCACATTCAGAGCAAGTGTAGGGCTTCTCCCCTTTGTGGATTCTTTGATGTACGTTAAGTTGTGTGTTTTGACGGAAACCCTTTCCACACATTGAGCACTGATAGGGCTTTTCTTCTGTGTGAATTCTTTCATGAGAGTTAAGGTGAGCTTTCTGAGCAAAGCTCTTTCCACATGCTGAGCATTTAAATGGCTTCTCCCCTGTGTGGATTCTTTGATGCAACTTAAGCTGAGAGTGCCAAGTGAAGCTCTTTCCACACTCTAAGCATTTATATGGCTTCTCCCCTGAGTGAATTCGTTGATGATGTTTAAGCCTTCCACAGTCAAGGAAGCTCTTCCCACATTCAGAGCAAGTGTAGGGCTTCTCCCCTTTGTGGATTCTCTGATGTACCGTAAGCTGTGTGTTCTGACAAAAACCCTTTCCACACACTGAGCACAGAAATGGCTTCTCCCCTGTGTGTATATTCTGATGCAGCTTGAAGTGCCTCTTCTGAATGAAAGCCTTTCCACACACTGAGCACTGAAAGGGCTTCTCTCCTGTGTGGATTTTGTGATGGTATTTAAGACTCACGCTTCGACTGAAGGCCTTCCCACATTCTGAGCATTTAAATGGCTTCTCACCTGTGTGATTTCTTTGATGCAATTTAAGTTCATAGTGCAAAGTGAAGCCCTTTCCGCACTCTAAGCATTTATGCAAATTCTCCCCAGTGTGGATTTTGTGATGGATTTTAAGAGATGCACTCCGACTGAAATTCTTCCCACACTCTGAACATTTATATGGCTTCTGCCCTGTGTGGATTCTTTGATGGGTTTTAATGTCAGCACATCGAGCAAAGGTTTTTCCACACTCAAAGCATTTATACGGCTTCTCACCTGTGTGAATTCTGTGATGGCTTTTAAGAGATGCACTCCGACTAAAGCTCTTCCCACACTCTGAGCATTTATATGGCATCTGCCCTGTGTGGATTCTGTAATGAATTTTAACGTCTGCACTTCGAGCAAAAGCCTTTCCACACTCAAAGCATTTAAACGGCTTCTCCCCTGTGTGAATTATTTGATGATGTTTAAGCCTTCTGCCATCAATGAAGCTCTTCCCACATTCAGAGCAAGTGTAGGGCTTCTCCCCTTTGTGGATTCTCTGATGTACCTTAAGGCTTCCATTTTGACTGAAACCTTTTCCACACACTGAGCACTGAAAGGGCTTCTCTCCTGTGTGAATTACTTTATGTGAGTTAAGGTATGATTTTTGAGCAAAGTTCCTTCCACATTCCGAACATTTATAGGGCTTCTCCCCGGTGTGAATTCTTTGATGCAGTTTAAGCCTTCTGCAATCAATGAAGCTCTTCCCACATTCAGAGCAATTGTAAGGCTTTTCCCCTTTGTGAATTCTCTGATGTACCTTAAGGTTTATGTTTTGACTGAAACCCTTTCCACAGAATGAGCACAAAAAGGGCTTCTCCCCTTTGTGGATTCTCTGATGTACCTTAAGGTGTGTCTTTTGACTGAAACTCTTTCCACACACTGAGCACTGAAAGGGCTTCTCTCCTGTGTGGATTCTAAGATGTCTTTTCAGCCCCATGCTTTCATTGAAGCTCTTTCCACACTGGGAGCATTTATGAGATTTTTTGGCTTCATGGACTATTTCATGAGATACAAGGTTTGAATTCTGAGGGAAGCCCTTTCCACAATCTAAAAAGTTATACAGCTTTCCTCTCTTGTGGCTTTTTTGATGTGCTTGAAGCTGGCTGCCCTCACCAAAACTCTTTCCGCACTCTAAACACTTGTAAGGTCTCTTGTTTATGTGGCCCATTTGATGTGAGAGAAGGCTTTCATTAGGACTGAAACTCTTGCCCCACTCAGAGCACTTATAAGTCTTCTCCCCTGTGGGAATTCTTTTTTCTATGTTAGAGTCTGATGTACAACTGAATTTCTTTTCAGACTTCAGGCTCCTGAAGCTCTTGCCCTCTTTGTCAGTATCTTGCTTCCTGGAAAGCTGGATCTGTTGCCTCCTCATGTCCTCAGAGTATTCCCACTGTCTTTCCCCACTGCGAATATTCCTATTCCTTCCTTTCGAAGGTGCTTGTGCCATTGGAACCACACAGAATTCTGATTGTTCAAAAGAAATGAACTCATTTTCCCCGTTTTCTTTGTCTGCTGTCTCCTGTCCTTGATGCACACTGTTGCTCCTCCTGCAGTCCACTGAAAGAATAAAGCAAAATATTACTGGGGATTAAGCTCTGATTGGTCTTTTGGACATCTCCGCAAAATATGAAGCCAGCAATCATGGCAGACTCTTAGGGCATTCCTGCAGGCTTGTGCCTCCTAACCTGGACCTACTTTTGCGGTGGGTTCATACAAATGCATCATGTTAGTTTTGCCACAGAGAGGTGACCAAGTTGTCTGTAACAGGCTCCTCAAGCTGAAAGATTCTGCGCTCTTACATCTCTCAGAAAGAGATTAGGCATCTTAAATCTCACCTTAAATGGATATACCAGAGTTGAGCAGAAATACTTTCACACAAATGCCTGTCACATAGAAACTGAGCCTGAAATTTCACCCTCCAGGATCTATCACTGAGGGAAAGAAGTAGCCCCATCTAGAGGAGCTGTATTCCTCACCCAGAGAAGCCAGGATCTCCTCCGTGACCTCCCGGTGCAGAGCCCTCTGGCCAGCGTCCAGCAGGGCCCACTCGTCCTCCGAGAAATGCACGGCCACCTCCTCGAGGCTCGTCACACCCTGGGGAAGAGGAGGTTGTTCATTACAGCAGTTCAGGGAGATGGCGGGGCGGGGGGAGGGGTTGGAGGTTCCCCTGCGGGACCTGGAGCTCCACAAGTGATTCCAGAAGCCTCCGGTCCTCCTCCTGGGACAGAAGCAAAGGCAAAGGGGCTGATTCTGCCAGGGCCGGGGGAGCGACAAAGGCGCTCAGGCCGCTCCTACCTTTTCTGCATGCAGGGATGGTGTCCCCACTCCACCACAAGCCGAAAGAGACCTTGGAGGCAGGCCCAGTGTTACTCCATCATCCATGCAGGTCGATCCATTTCCTAGAAGAAACTTCCTTCTTGAAAACCGTTTTCTCTATTAGCTTCTTCTGCAAAATCATTGTCTGTCCAAATAGCTAAAGAAACTGCTTTTCCGTGTTTTGAAGTGGCTACCCGGGAAGGGTACCCTCCCACCACAGGAGAAGCCTAAATCAACTCAGGCACTTGGGGCAGAGCAGATGGGAGATGAGGCTGTAGTGGGCCCACTCACCCTCACCTGGTGAAGGGGGCTCCTGGTCCACCTCCTGCATGATCCCCCTCAGCAGCCCCAGTGTGGGATCCGATGCAGCCTTCCCCGCCTCCGGGATTTCTGTGGCTACTTTATCCATCATTCGCTGAACCTGCAACAACAATGTGGGTTCCATTTAAGGAAGGCTGAGGGGATCAGGAATGGAGAATGTGGTGCTGCAAGTGTCAGGCAGAACTTCCCAGCAGGTGTGGTGTTCAGATCTCCTACTAGGAGTGTTCTGCCTTAAAACCCTGCAGCACCCCAGGCTGCGTCTTTATCAGGAGAGCCTGGAAGGATCCGTGCATCAGGCTAAGAGCTCAGCCTGGTACAAGCAAAGGGCCACAACAGCCTCCTGCAACCGATCAGCTGGAGAGAGATGGTTGCTTTCTTCCTGCCACTTCCATACTGAGCCTCTCCTCCTCAGGAACAGAAAAACCCACAGAAGTGTCCGTGGATCCTCCACAGGGGGTCTGTCCCACATTCAGAATTGCTGTCCATGTTGAAATTGGGACATCTCCAACTAGGCAGAGAGGCAGGAAAAGGGCAGCCACTAGTGGGGAGATTGAGACCCTGCCCCACACATTCAGGATTGCTGCATAGTGTGGTATGGGGCAGGGAAACAAGAACTGGGGCACCCTTGCGAGACAATCATCAACGTTGGGCCACTGGGTGAGGGTTCTAAAGTCTCAGTGCAGTGGAGGAAAAGTGCTCACCTGCTGCTCTTCCTGCTGCCCCTCCTCTGCCTGGCTCAGCAGGGCGCCTTCGGCCAGGGCCACCGCCTGGGCACTGGTCTCCGCTCCGCACTCCCTCACCCAGCTCTCCAGCCGTGGGGGAAGGATGGCCAGGAACCGCTCCAGGGTCACATGGTCCAGCAGCTGAGCCTTCGTGTGGCTTTCTGGCCGCAGCCACAGACGGCAGAGATGGTGCAGGCGGCTGCAAACTGCTCGGGGCCCCTCAGCCTCCAGGTAGAGGCCCGACTGCCTGAAGGGCTGGCTGCTCCCACCCACATCCTCCTGCACGCCTCTTTCCCAGTACTCTGCACTGCTTCCTTGTGGGATTTCATGGAAGTAATTTCCTGCCTCACAGCCAGCCAAGACCTGTTCTTCTGTCTCCACTCCACTATCCATTTCTGCTCTCAGCAGGACTTGAAGGACCTCCTGCTGTACTGCCAGCTCTTTGTTGAGACAAAAACTGTGGGGTGGAAGGAAAACACAGATACCTCGGTGGCCAAGGTAATCCCGGACCCTATTTCAAATATCCTCCCAGAATCTCTGACTCCCAAGAAACAGGCACTTGGGTTACCACTCACTTCTAGGACGTAAGCCATGTGTGCTTTTGATAAGTAAATGCACACTCGATTTTCTCTGAGGACTTCAGAAGGGCCACGCTGGATCAGACCACGGGACCCTCTCCAGCATGCGGCTCACTCCATGGCCAGCCCCCAGGGTCGAACTTGGGGGTGGTCCTGAGGGTCAGGGGGTCTCTTTTGGCTCTACTCTTCTAGGCCCATGGGAAACCCACATGGATCCTGTGTGATCAACAGCCTCCTTCCACCCAAGGCCCCCACCAAGTGGTGCACCCCAGCATACTGCCTCTGAGCGTGTGGCCAGCAAGGAGCCAAAAGGACTAGTAGCCATTCTAACCCTCCTCTTTCCCCATTTCCTCATATCCCTGTTAAAGGTGTCTGCACTGTGGGCCACCACTCACGACTTTCTGTGGCAGAGAATTAGGCAAACTATGCGCTGGAAGATGTGAGCTCAGATCAACAAGGTTTCATCAACAGAAACAATCAGGGGCCTGAAGCAGGTACCCCATGAGGAATGGCTCCAACTGGGAGTTTAGCTGAGAAAAAGATGAGTCAGGAAAGATTGGACAAGATGTTGAAAATAAAGCACAGTATGGAGAAAGAAGACAGAGAGACATTTTTGTCTCACTCCCATAACACTTGGCACCCCAATAATCCCATGAAGCTGATTGGGATGAGGCTTAGGACAGAGAAAAGGAATTCCATCTTGGCAAAACTTATAGCTGAAATACCAAATTTGTTACCACTGGAAGTTTTGCTGGCCATCAATTTGGATGGCTTAAACTGAGGACTGGACAGATTCAGGAGGGAGGTGGCTGCTTGCCCCGCTAGCTGAGCGCTGCTTCCATGATCAGAGGGGCCATGCCTGCCCACACCAGTTGCTGAGGAGCCTGGGCAGGAGTAGTAGTATGTTTTTATTTAAATAAAAAATTTCAACCTGGGCAGGAGGAGGTCTTGCACCCATGCTGCTTGATGGATCCTCTGGGAAGCAGGTTTGCCTCCGTGGGTGTGGTGGAGTGCCAAATTTTGGTTCTGTCTCACACTCATAGCTTCCTGGGATGATTTCTTGCATTCTGGACTAACGGAAGTGGGGAGAGATCTTCCTCCCCATTTCTCCACCACAGGCAACATCTTGAATGCCCCAGTCAGGCTTCTCTTTCCTGCACCTAATCCATCAGGCTTCTGGTCAACTTCCACAGAGGAATGCAAGGGGTGGGCCACTAGCTAAATACTTCTGAAGCAAGTAGAGGACCCACTGCCCCCCCTCCCCCGGGCAAGGGACTTTCTCCTCCAGGGTCTCACAGTTTTCCTGGCTTTCCCTGGGTCAAGTCTTCCTTGGAGGAGCAGGACAAGGGTCTTCTGCAGAGTTCCCTCGGGGCAGTGGCCTTGGGATCGCATGGTGCTCATAGGGACTGCCCTCCTCTCTCCTAAAAGGTTCTCATTTCAATGGGCACCTTTCCTACACCTACTTTCCAGGGACCCTCCTACACCTCCACCCACCTGGTCCCTGATGGAAGCAGCACTCCTGCACTGCACGTGGGACATCATTCAATAGAAACCTCAAAGACATCTAAACCGGGAGGGAAGGCCTGGATTCCTTTCACTACTGACCTTCTGTACGTCTATGGAGCAACACAACATGCCATAACACAAAGATCCCAGCAGAATTATCACATGGGAGAGGGAAAGACTCCGAACACAGAGTTGCTGGGCTTTCTAAGAAAAGACTTAGGTGATTCCCTGCTTGGCCAGATGGTTACATTATGTAATGGGTGCATGGGAACTTTCTGTGATTGCTGATTTATTGTATCTGGTTAGGAGAAGAGAAAAATGCTGTGTTTAGGTATGTCTCCATAAGAGATCGGTTTCTGTGGGAAGGGGCAGGAAGATACCAGGAGTGGGAGGCGAGCGCCGGAGTAGAATTTTCTCTTCAAATGTTTCAGATGGTTTCCGGCTTAGAATAAAGTTTGACCCTTTTTTTAGGGTGAAGCCAAGGAGGCTACTTCCACCCAGGGCCCCCGCCAGGCGGCGCACAGGAGCATGCTGCCTCCCTCGCCGCGGGAAGCGAAGGGCCAGCCGGACCGGCAGCCACGGGCCCCCCGCTTCCCCGCCTGCACCAGCCCTGGGGGGCCAGCCGCCCGCCGCTTCCTTGGCGGGAATCCCGCCGGCTTCGAGGCACCGGGAGGAGAAGCGCTGCACCGCGTCCCCCACCCCCCGGCTCGGGCTCGGGCTCGGGCTCTGCCCTCCCCCGGCTTCGCCCGGGCCGGTTACCCGCGGGGGCCGCTCGAGGGGCGCCCTGCAGGCCTCCCGGGGCAGCCGCCTGGGGTCGCGGGACAGGGAGTGGCCTCCCCCCCCCGTCTCCCCACTGGAGCGGGACCCCCACGGCCTCCCCTCCGGCCCCACGTACCGCGTTCCTGCTCCCCGGCCGGGATGCCCGCGGGGGGCGAAGGGGAGGGTCCCCCGCAGGGGCCTTTCGCGCGCGCGCCTTCCCGGGACCCCGCCAGGGGCACCGCCTCCCCACTGATGGGAGCCGCGCCTGCGCATTGCGAGCGACGGTTGCTGGGAGCGCTGCCCGGTGGTCTTGGGAACCGGGGCGCTTTCATTCCCCTCTAGGAACGCGCCTCTCCCTCGCCTTAACCCTTCCCTCGCATCTCCGCCGCCTCCGCCGGCGCCCCGCCTCCCTCCCCCCAGCCGGTTCGGCTGCGGCCGCCCAGGCGAGCGCGGTCCCGGCTGGGCACGTCCTCCCGAGTGCCGCTTCCCCGCGGGGCCAGTGCGGAAGGGGAGCCGCGACCCCGGCGGGGGAGCCGCTCCGCTGCAGGGGAGCCTCGGCCTCCCGGGCGGGAAGGGAGCAGCTCCCCGAGCCCTGCGCGGCCCCGGCACGGGCCACCGCGAGGGAAGCGCGCCTGCCGCACGCCGAGGCTGGAGCGCTGGGCACGGGCCGCGGGTCCTGGCCTGGCCTGGCCGAGGGGGCAGGACCGGGGGCCCCTTCGGGCGCTCTGCCGGGGCCAAGAGCGGAGGGGCCGGTGCTCCGAGTGCTCGGAAGGCCCTTCCCTGCTGGGCCGATGCGGGGCCGGGCCAAGCCGGTCCTGCAGACCCCGCGGGCAGCGGCACCCACCGCCTGCAAGGAAGAGGCGTGTGGCTTGCAAGTCCCTGGCAGGCCGCCTTGCTCCGGAGTCGGACACCCGGCAAAGCTGCGAAGAGCGTGGGAAATGCAGGCGGCCCTGGAGGAGGGGGCAGCATGGAGAGATCCTGGCTAAGAAATGCCCCGCACGGGGCAGCCCGTGGGGTGGGTGGCTGCTGCGGCTGCGCTGTGCCTGGAGGGAAAGGAGCTGCAGGGGCTGCGACTCCCCCCCCCCCCGTGCCCTCCCCCCAGGAGCCTGGTTCCCCCACAGCCCGGGCCGCAAGTCCCTGGCTGGCTGGCCGGCCCACCATTCAGAGGACACTTTCCCGGAATTGAGCCCCAACCCTGCACAAGCCTCTTTCCTGCCATGTGCAGTTGGACCTTGTGTGGAAGGAGGTGGCCAGCAGTGCAGTCTTCATCCTGCGCTTCCTCTTGGACAGCTCGGCTCACTTGGGATCACATTTCGCAATGCCTCTTGCAACCACAAATTGCCTGGACAGCATGAGCAACATCTGGGGCCGGCCTCTGAGTGCCACCTTCAAGGGAGTCTCCATCCTTGGGGAGAAGGGGCTTCTCCAGGCATGCTCACAACTGCCATGAGATGCACAGGAAATGAGGGGGACCACTCTCCTTCCCACGTCTGGGATCGTCCCCCTCCTCCTTGCCTCGTCCACATTCACCACAGGGCAGAGACAGAGATGAGCCAGTCAATAGTGTAACATTTAATGAGAAACTTTTGGAACAGAATCGAGAATAGGAAGAAACGCAGTGCTCCGAGAATTCAAGAAAGACCCCCAGTCTAGTGACAGTCTCCAATCTAGAGGGACGCTGGCTCATGGAGGGACCCTCATCAGCTCTGTGCACTCCTGAATCAATCCCCCAGGCACCCACCAGGTACTGAAATATTATGTGAATTATCTTATCTTGGTCAAGCCCTGCATTTCAAGCAAAGCTCTTTCCACATTCTGAGTATTCATAAGGCTTCTCCCCTGCATGAATTCTTTGACCCAACTTATCCTAAGAGGGCCAAGTGAAGTTCTTTCCACACACTGAGCCCAGAAAGGCCTTCTCTCTTGTGTAAATTACTTTATGAGCATTTAGGTGTGATTTCTGAGCAAGCTTCTTCACATTCTCAGCTTTATATGGCTTCTCCCATGTGAATTCTGATGCTGGAAACTCTTCATGTGAGTTAAGGTTTGAGTTCCGACAAAACCCTTCCACAGACTGAGCATCAAAAGGGCTTCTCACCGTTGGATTCTTTGATGCCACTTAAGTGGAGAGGACTGAATGGAGCCCTTTCCACACTGGAAGCATTTATGCTGATTCTCCCTCATGCAAATTCATTTATGCTCTCTGAGCTTTTTGCAACCAAGGAAGCTCTTCCCAGTTTCAGATCAGGTGCGGGGCTTCCCCCCGTGGAGGGAATTCTGATGGACCTTAAGGTTTCCCTTCTGACAGAAACCCTTTCCACACACGGAGCACTGGAAGGACTTCTCTCCTGTGTGAATAACCTTATGCTTGTTAAGACATGCTTTCCCAGCAAAGCGCTTTCCACACACTGAGCACTGAAAGGGCTTCTCTCCTGTGTGAATTACTACATGTGAATTAAGGCTAGATTTCCGAGTGAAGCTCTTTCCACATTCTGAGCATATAAATGGCTTCTCCCCAGTGTGAGTTCTTTGATGCACCGTAAGGTGAAAAGGCCGACTGAAGCTCTTCCCACACTCAAAGCATTTATGCGGATTCTCCCCAGTGTGAAGTCTTTGATGTTGTTTAAGCTTTTTAAAATCACGGAAGCTCTTCCCACACTCACAGCAAATGTACGGGTTCTCCGCATGGTGGGTCTTCTGATGGAACTTAAGGTGTGCCTTTTGACTGAAGCCCTTTCCACACACTGGGCACTGGAAGGGCTTCTCTTCTCTGTGAATTATCTCATGTTTGCTAAGCCCCGAGACCCGAGCAAAGCCCTTGCCACATTCTGAGCATCTATGCGGCTTCTCCCCTGTGTGACTCCTTCGATGCACCTTCAGGTGAGAGGGCCGAGTGAAGCGCTTTCCACACTCTGAACATTTATGCCGATACTCCCTGGTGTGAATTCTTTGATGCTGTTTAAGCATTTCGAAATCAAAGAAGTTCCTCCCACACTCAGAACAAATGTAGGGCTTCTCCCCAGCGTGGGTGTTCTGATGGGCCTTACAGTGTGCCTTTTGACTGAAGCCCTTTCCACACACTGAGCACTGGAAGGGCTTCTCTTCTCTGTGGATTATCCGATGTTTGTTAAGCACTGAGACCCGAGCAAAGCACTTGCCACATTCTGAGCATGTATGCGGCTTCTCCCCCGTGTGAGTCCTTTGATGCAACTTAAGATAACAGGGCCAAGTGAAGCACTTTCCACACTCTAAGCATTCGTAACACTTCTCCTCCTTCTGACTTCTTTTTTCTGTGTTAAACTCTGACCTGCAAGTGAATTCCTTTGCAGATTTCATGCCCATGAAACTCTTCTCCTCGTTTATCTCTTGTTTGGAAACGGGGATCGGATGCCTCCTCATGTCCTTGGAGCATTCCCACTGTCTCTCCCCATTGCAAATACTGCTTCTGCCTCCTTCAGAAGCTGCTTGTGCCATTGGAACATCACAGCCTCCTGACCATTCAAAAGAAATGGACTCATCTTTCCAGTTTTCTTTCTGTGTTGTTTCCTGTCTTTGGTGCACACCGTTTCTATTGCTCCCCCTGCAATCCGCTGAAAGAAGAAAAAGGGAAATATTCCTTAATGCACAGAAAAAAACCCAGTGGGTTGCTGATTACAGTAGCGGGATAATACCGTGTTTCCCCGAAAATAAGACACTGTCTTATTATTATTATTATTTGGCTCACAAAAACACACTAGGTCTTATTTTTGGGGTAGGTCTTATTTTTCTATTTTATTTTTTAATGTACAACAGTCTACTTGTATTCATGTACAAAAATATCCCGCACATTTATTCAAATACAGTCATGCCATCTTCTTCTGGAACATCGTCGTAACTCTCCAAATCCTGAATTCTGGACTGATTTTCTTGTGACTCCATTTCCTGTAGAACCATTGGCCCCAGTCTTTCATGCCTAGCAATACAGCTCTCCTTAAATGAGCACGTCTTGTCCATGTAGCCTGCTTGTAGTGCACTGGCAACATCGCTGTCAGTGATTTTATCCCATGAATTCTTCACCCAAGTCACAACCTCTTGCAGACCAGGCTTCACAAAGTTTCCACCCTGATTGCTCTCCATTCTATTTTCAATGAAATCATTGATTTCCATGTGCAAATGGTCCTTGAATGGCTTGTTTATTGCAATATCAAGAGTGTGGAGATAGGCAGTCATTCCTGCAGGAATCATTATCTGATCTATTCTTCTCTCTGCAAGGAAGTTCTTCATGTCTTTAGCGCGGTGAGTGCTGGCTGAATCCCAGACTAGCAGGCCTCTTTGGCCACCTCGCAAAACGAGTGGCAGCATTAAATCGACCCACTTCCTTATAACTGCTTGTGTGCACCAGGCTTTTTCGGTTTCCAGCACATAAATGCCTGAAACGCATTCAATTCGATCTTTCCTGCCCTTAGTGATGATGAGCGGTGTGACTTTCTTTCCATCCAGACGAACTGCCAAGACACAGGTAATGCGGGCACTTTCGTAACCAGTGGAGGGAAGGTAGATCGACGAGGCACCCCTCTGATTCACTGTTGCTTGGGACCCTTGGCCCATAAACACTGCGGTTTCATCCATGGCAATCATGTTGGAGAGTTGGTATTTAGCAAAGTCAATGCCATCCACAAAGGACTTGAATACGAGGGCACGTCTGACAACTTCAGCATCTTCCAGCTTGAACAGTGTTGTCGATCTTCTTAGAGATAGTTCGTATCGCTGAAGGAAGTTATCCAGCCAGTGTTGGGATGCCTTGAATTCTTCTGGGGATATATCCAACATGGGTGCCATCGCAAGGGCAAACGCTTGAATATCAGCCCTGCACACAACCAAGGTCCTTGCTCTCCTGTCAGCAATCCATTCACAGATGATGTCTTCCAAATCTGGAAAGGATGTTTGCCGACCTGATCCACACTTGCGCTTCTTAGCATTTCCCACCTCCACCTGTTGACTGAGGTTACTGTAATCTGCTCGCCATTTTCGGACCAATCGGAGATCCAACTTCTTCTCTTTGCAGTAAGCGGTAAGATTCTTGCCGCACGAGTCCTCTACGATTCTTTTCTTGTACTCGACGGAATAGCTCTTTCTTTTTGTACTCATCTTGTCTGGGGGTCAAAATAATATTCTGTTTAAATCTAACATTAAATACGGTACCATACCATAATACCGTATGGGTAGAAGACTTACAAGACAGGAGTGGAGGGCAAAGTTAAGAATAGGGTGATCAGGGCAATCAGGGGTGCCGTACCTTCTCAAGAGCAATTTGGTAACCAATCGCTGGCCAGAATGAGCGAAGCACACTTTCACTATCACTCCTCACAGGCGCAGTGCATTTGGTATCACTCCGCCTGTGACAGGAGCTGGCGCTATAGAGGAAGCATCGGCTTATACGGCACTGCTCCCTCCGAGCTGCAGAAGCATGTTTCCTCCACACAGTGCATTAAGTTATAGTTAACTTAAAAAATAAAGTTTAAAAAGGCTGTTTATGTTCCCCACTGGCCCTGGGAATAAACACAGCTGGGTCTTATTTTCGAGATAGGTCTTATATTTTAGCAAGTACCAAAAATAGTACTAGGTCTTATTTTTGGGATAGGTCTTATTTTGAGGGAAACACGGTATTAATACGGGAGGAGGCACGCCCTTGTGCATGGGTTTGTCTCCGCAGAGGCATCCCACATGGTCCCCCAACGGTAAAGGAAGACAATAAAAATCTGTAAATCACAAGAAGCCAGAATCGACAGCGAGACCTGCCATTTTGTACCAGCTGCTGAGTGACTGAGGAATGGGAAAGTGGGCATTCGACTCTGATGGGCCTTCTGGATGGCTTGGCATCTGCTGAAGCCACCAGCCAGGCTAGGCTCTTGCTGGCTTCGTCACTGTTTCCCATGGATCTATGCCTGAGATGAATTTTGTGTTTGGTTGTGCTGCCTTGTGTCTCAGAAGAAAAGGAATAGTCAGCCTAAATATTAACCTGGATGAGTATACCAGAGTCGACCTCAACGACACCCACACAAATGCCTGTACATAGAAGCCATGCCAGGAATTTCACCATCCAGGATCTATCACGGAGGGAAAGAAGCAGCCCCATCTGGAGGGGCCGCACTCCTCACCCAGAGAAGCCAGGATCTCCTCTGTGACCTCCCGGTGCAGAGCCCTCTGGCCAGCGTCCAGCAGGGCCCACTCGTCCTCCGAGAAATGCACGGCCACCTCCTCGAGGCTCGTCACACCCTGGGAAAGAGGAAATCATTCATCACCGCAGTGCAGGGAGACGGCGGTGGGGACGTTCCCCTGTGGGATCTGGGGCTCCACGAGTGATTCCGGGAGCCTCCAATGCTCCTCCTGGGATGGAGGCAAAGGCAAAGGGGCCGATTCTGCTAGGGCCAGGGGAATGAACAAAGGCGCTCAGGCCTCTCCTAACCTTTTCTGCATGCAGGGATGGTGTCTCCATTCCACCAAAAATCGAAGGAGGCCTCAAGGGAATGCTGAGTGTCATTCCATCCTCCCTGCAGGCCATTCCCTTTCCTAAGGACAGGAAAGAGATCAGAAAAGAAACTGTGTCCTTGAAGAACATTGTCATTTAGTTTCTTTGTTAAAATTGCTAAACAAACTGCTTCTTCTTTTTTTTTTTTTTTAGCGAGCAGCTCCTTAAGAAGAGTTTCCTTCTAACCCAAAGGAAGTTCAAGAGAAGCTTAAAGCAGCTCAGGCACTTTGGGCACACAAGAGATGGGGACGAGGCTGCAGTGGGCCCACTCACCCTTACCTGGTGACAGGCGTGCCCTGTCCACCTCCTGCTCGATCCCCCTTGACAGGCACCCCAGTGTGGGATTCGATGGAGCCTTCCCTGCTGCGAGGAACTCAGTGGTTGCTTCTTCCCTCATTCGCTGAACCTGGAACAGCATTGCGGATCCCAAATAAGGCAGGTTGAAGGGATCAGGAAAGGAGACTGTGGTGCTGCAAGAGCCCGGCAGAACTTCCCAGCGGGCACATAGTCCAGGCCTGCCCTCAAGGTGCTCTGCCATCCAAGCCCTGCAGAAGCCCAGGCTGAGTGGACCTGAGGTGAGAAGGGAAGGATCCCTGTGCTGGACTTGATGGCTCAGCCCCAGCAGAGGGAAAGGCTGAAAAGAGCAGGGAGGGAGAAGCTCTCAGATGGTAACTGATCCTCAGCAACTCCCCGTGTCCGTTTGGTGCTTCGCAAGGCTGTTTCTGTCCTACCAGGAGGATTCTGTTGCTGCGTGAAAAGGACCCCCTCCTCTTTCGCAGCAAAACGCATGAACCCAAGACTGTGGATTCTCCAAACAGGGCCTGCCCCAGACATTCAGAATTGCTCCCTGGTGTTGTCTGGGGCAGAGATACAACAACTGGGGCACCCTTGAGAGACAAGCATCAACGTTGGTCCACTGGGTGCGAGTTTAAAAGTCTCAGTCCAGTGGATGAAAATTGCTCACCTGCTGTTCTTCCTGCTTCCCCTCCTCTGCCTGGCTCAGCAGGGCGCCTTCGGCCAGGGCCACCGCCTGGGCACTGGTCTCCGCTCCGCACTCCCTCACCCAGTTCTCCAGCCGTGGGGGAAGGATGGCCAGGAACCGCTCCAGGATCACCTGGTCCAGCAGCTGAGCCTTCGTGTGGCTTTCTGGCCGCAGCCACTGATGGCAGAGATGGTGCAGGCGGCTGCAAAGTACTCGGGGCCCCTCGGCCTCCAGGTAGAGGCCCAACAGCCTGAAGCGCTGGCATGTTGTGTCTGAGCTGGGTCTGCTCCCTCCCACGTCCTCCTCCAAGCCTCTTCCCCAAAGCTCCATGCTGCTCCCCTGCAGAATTTCGTGGGAGCCATTGCTTGCCTCAGAACCAGCCAGGTCCTGTTCTTCCATCTTCACTCCATTCTCCATTTCTGCTCTCAACATCTCCTTGCTATGTTGCCGGGTCTTTGCTAAGAAAGACTGCAGGGAGGAAGGAAAACAGAGATGCACCTGTGGCCAACCCCACCCAAGACCCCGTTTCAACCATTGCCCCAAAAGCCCTGACTCACAAGAAACAGGCATTTGGTTACCACTCACTTTGAGCATATGCACCACCTGCGCCTCTGGTAGGTAAACACATCCTCGTTTGCTCTGAGTGAGGAATTAAGAACGCCCACCTTGGATCAGACCATGGGACCCTCTCCAGCATGCGGCTCACTCCATGGCCAGCCCCCAGGGTCGAACTTGGGGGTGGTGCTGAGGGTCAGGGTTCCTTCTGGCTCGACTCCTCTAGGCCCGTGGGAAACCCACATGGATCCCGAATGTCCAACAGCCTCCTTCCACACATGGTGTCCACCAAGTGGTGCAGCCCAGCGTACTGCCTCTGAGCGTGTGGCCAGCAAGGACCACAAGGCCTCTTAGCCACGCTTAGCCTCCTCTTCCCTGACTTCCTCCCATCCCTACTGAAGGTGTCTGTCCTGTGGGCCACCACTCACTGCCTCCTGTGGCAGGGAATTCCACAGGCTACCTATGCAGTGGAAGAGGTGTCCTTACGTCCACCAGAGTTCAGCAACAGAAACGATCAGGGAACTGGAGCAGGTCCCCCATGTGGAACAGCCACCACACCTGGAAATCCTCTATTTAGAAAAAGGTGAGGAAAACCTGGATAGTGTTCAAATATTAGCCACCAACCTGGATGGTTTAACAGGGGACTGGACAGAGGCAGGAGAGAGGAGGCCATCCATGGCTACTCTCTTTGCAGCCCATATTCCACTCCTTCACCCAAGGGAGCATGCCTGCACACACCAGTTGCTTAGGAGCGTGTTGAGGAGGAGGTCTTCTGCCCATCCTGATGAGGGATCCTTGGGGAAGCTGGTTTGCCACCATGTGCATGGAGTGCTGGGCCCCAGATTTGTCCCAAGACGAGGAGGCATGCGTTGCCTCCTCGTCTTCCATGTCCTGCTCCTCAAGTGGGAACAAGACGAGGGTCTTCTGCAGTCCACCCCCAGGGCCAGTGGCCTTAGGATCACATGCTGTTGGTAGGACCTGCACCCTCCCTCTCTGTATAGCTTCTCACCCCCATGGGCACCTTTGCTGCACGCGCTTTCCAGGGACCCTCATGCACTTCCCTCAGGGACCAGGTGGGTGGAACCCCTCCACTGCGCGTTTCACTTCTTTGAATAGAAACTCCGAAGACATCCAAACTGGGAGAGAAGACCTGGATTCCTTTGACTACTGACCCTCTGCAAGTCTATGGAGCAACACAACACGCCATAATACAAAGATCTTCAGCAGAATTATCATGTGGGAGAACAATTTGCTCTAAGCTCAGAGTTACTGGGCTTTCTAAGACAAGACCTAGGTGAGCACCTGCTTGGCCAGAGGGTTTCATTATGTAATGGCTACATGGGAATTTTCTGTGATTGTTGGTTTCTTGTATCTGTTTGGTTAGGAGAAGAGGAATGTGCGGTGTTTAGTATGCCTCTTATTTGAGATCAGTGTCTCTGGGAAGAGGAAGGAAGATACCAGACAGTGGGAGCAGAATTTTCTGTGCAAACGGCTTCAATGGTTTTTGGCTGGGAATAAGATTTGATCCTCCTTCCAGAGTGGAGCCAACCCAGGGCCCCAGCCAAGGGGCGCACAGGAGCGCGCTGCCTCCCTCGCCGCGGGAAGCGAAGGGCCCGCCGGACCGGCAGCCACGGGCCCCCCGCTTCCCCGTCTGCTCCAGCCCCGGGGCCAGCCGCCCGCCGCTTCCTTGGCGGGAATCCCGCCGGCTTCGAGGCACCGGGAGGAGAAGCGCTGCCCCGCGTCCCCCACCCCCCGGCTCGGGCTCGGGCTCTGCCCTCCCCCCGGCTTCGCCCGGGCCGGTTCCCCGCGGGGGCCGCTCGAGGGGCGCCCTGCAGGCCTCCCGGGGCAGCCGCCTGGGGGTCGCGGGACGGGGCCTCCCCCCCCCCGTCTCCCCACTGGAGCGGGACCCCCACGGCCTCCCCTCCGGCCCCACGTACCGAGTTCCTGCTCCCCGGCCGGGATGCCCGTGGGGGGCGAAGGGGAGGGTCCCCCGCAGGGGCCTTTCGCGCGCGCGCCTTCCCGGGACCCCGCCAGGGGCACCGCCTCCCCACCGCTGGAAGCCGCGCCTGCGCATTGCGAGCGAGGGTTGCTGGGAGCGCTGCCCGGTCGTCTTGGCAACCGGGGCACTCTGCAGCCCCTCTAGGAACGCGCCTCTCCCTCGCCTTAACCCTTCCCTCGCATCTCCAGCGGAGGGCGCTGCGGGAAAGGGGCAGCGCGTTTCCTTCTCGGCCGCGGGGCGGGGGCAGAGCTCGGCGCGGAGCGAGTTCTCTGCCCCGCTGTGCCGCCAGCACTCGGGCGCCGTCCCTTCCCCATCATGCACATGCCCGATTGCCATGGCAGGAAATCCTGGAGTTCTGGATGGGGACCAGAGACATCCCGCCGGCAGTGGGCCGCCCGATGTGTGCCGGTCTCCACATAAGCTGATCCCACCCGCTTCAGCTTCACTGGCGGTGCACCGACAGCCCGGCAAGTCTGGCCCAGAAATGCCGGGGGAGCTTGTTCCGCGCAGCAGCAAGCAACTTCGGAGCCCTGCGGGGCAATCCTGGCCGGCGGCCTCACGCGCAGGGCTCCCTCCGTGATGGGTGGCGGACGCTGCAGCTGCAGCTGAGCTTCCCTTAGCGTGGTCTGGCGCAGCGCCCAGCGTCCTGGAGGGATCTGTCCCCTGGACCCCCTTCCCTCCCCCTTCCTCCCACTCTGTCGCTTTGGAAAGGTCTCCTCTCTCCCTCAGGTGAGAGTGCGCTGGCGATTCTCCTTGGCAGTCTTCCTGCCCGCAGGATGGCCCCCCGCTCCCCGTCTCCGATGCTGGCAGAACATGCAGCCCGCCCGCGGGTGCTGGCAGCCACCCCTGGGCGCCCTCCCTCTGGCTGCCTCACAGTCCAGCTCGCTGTGCGCCTTGTCAGCAATTCGTAAGTGCTCTGGAAGCTGCCAGACCTTATTTTCTGCACAATGTGGAGCTCCCTTCCCCGTGAGTCAGCCTCCAGCTGGCATCCTGCTTTCCTGGGGATTCCAAGGGACCGTGTGCCCGCAGCCGGGGCGTTACGTTGCTCAGACGGTCCCCAGCGTGAGCCCTAATTGATGACCGTGGCAGTGGGCAGTGGAGGGAGGAGGGACTGGTTCAGGCAGCTTTGGGGATCCCTGTTCCCCCTGCAGGAGTGGAGAATGAGGACTTCTGCAGCCAGCTGGACAGGGTGAAGGGGAAGCCTCCGACAGCCACCTGCAATGCCACTGAAGCCGTCAGCAGCAGTTGACTGTTGGCAGCTTGACAAGAGTGGCAAGATGACCATGTTGGTCTAGCGAATACTCAGAAAGCAGGAGTGGGCCAAGCAAGCCTTGATATTCAGCAGAGGATGTAAACAAAGACCGAATGTAAAATGCAGGGCAGATGGTGAACCTGAGTGGGAGCTAGAACCGTTTCTGGAGCGAGCATCTTGCCAGGTGCCTGGCTGGTCTTGGACTGGACACCTCGTGGGTCCTCAGGGATGGGTACGGTGCTCTCCTGTGATATGTGAAGAGGGAGACAATTCCAGGTGCCGATAAAAGAGTCTTCCGTCCCCTTTTCCCTGTTCGGTGCTGAGGGCCAGGATTGGCTCTGCCTGCCTGCCTGGCCCAAGGATGCCTGGGGCAAGCATGCCTGGAGTCCTGGGCAGCCTGCGGCCTTCTGGGTGGCCTCCCAGCATCCCTTTAGAGGGGGCAGAAAGAGGCTGTTGGGAGGAAGGCCAGCCGCTTCCATGTAGACTTTGGTCCCGCTGCTGCAAGTCTCCTTTGCGGCAGCTTTTCTCCGGCTCCTCCAGATCTTCTTGACTGGACGTCCTCAGCTTCTTCCTCCACTTCCCAAGCGAGTGGTGCTGAGCACAGGTGCTGGGCATGGGGAAAGAGCCTGGTTTGCTGAAGAGCTTCGTTTCATTCCTTATTAATTACCACGCTTCAAAGGGGACTGCAATCTGATCCATTGGCCCCGGCATTCTCCCCTGCCCTGGCTCCAAACAAGAGCTTCCTCTCTTCATGAAAATGACTCAGTTTTGCCTTTCATTGAAATAAAAACAATATTTACTCCTTATCTCCAATGTCTTTTTTTCATCTCTTTATTGCTTGAGCAACATGCTTTCACTTCCAAACCTGTTCTTCTTACTGAGAGAGGCATTCCGGCTTATGGGCAGGGTGCAGACTAAAGAAATGAATAGCCTCCGCAGCGCCTTAACTCTCCAGTGGGCTCATCGGAGGGGCCACACGAGCATCTGCTCAACACCCTTCTGACTTCTGATTCATCTGTCCTTTACTTCCCTTCATAAGTGTCACTAGGGTTGCAAGGATCAGCCGGAAGCCAGTTCTCATGCGCTGGCTGGGGGACTGCCTGGCACTCGCCCCTGGCCAGAAAGGTGGCCAAGCCGAGACCGGATGTGGGAAGGCCAGCAGCTTTTTGGTGCAAAGTGCATATGGGTCAACGCACAGAGTAAGGACAAGTTTGCACAGTCCACAAGTGGTGTGAGCGGGAGCAGAGCTCTTTTGGCATGGGAAGCATCCAGCATGAGCACAAGTCAGCCTCGTGGCCTGGCCGGGACTCACTTCTGCCCAGCGCCCATAGGAACACTTGGTGCAATGTGGACTTGGCTGAGAGAGCAAGCAAGCAAGCAAGCAGGGGACTGGGAGGACGAGATGAGGAACTCGGACGGCTTCCAAGCCCCAGCACATCACTGCTGGTCCCCCGTCCCACCCGCTGCCGGTTCCCTCCGTCCCTCCTTCCTGCCAGAGAATCTGCTTGCGATGCACCATTGGGCCCATCATGGTCTCCCACCAATGGGGACTCAAGACCCAAAGTGCTCCCCAGAAAGCCGGGCCAGCACCCCAGTTTCAGGGACCATATAGCCCAAGTGCACCCCCATTCTGGGGCTA